CTACACATGCACAATGCTTTCTTGATAGCTGTTCATTGTGGAAATAAAGAGCACGGCAGATTGCTTATCCGACAAACGTCTGCTCAGTGATTGCCAACATGATGAAAAGACCAAGCTACCCACAGCCCAACATCGGCGTTTTTGTCGCAAATGGCAGGACGCAGCGAAAGTACCAGGTTTAAGACAGAATGATGTGTGGTGAGATATATGTTTCTGACCCGTTACATTATTCATGAACCCAAAAGTAGCTGGCTAAAGAGACGATCTAGTCAGAGTCTATGGGGCTATTTTCCTTTCGAAGCCAGCAGCTTTGTCTCGGAAAAGAAATAATGATAATAATTTTCAAAGAAAGCATACGAAATCTTTTCACTGCTTTGTCAGCATTATGAACAGACGGTGATGACTGCTAGTGAAGATATGTGAAAGGAATGCCGATGCTTTTCAACGTCCTGGATGGTCGACGCCTGGAACCCTGTGAAGCAACACGTCAAGGATGTCTATTCATTTCATCGTTTTGTGAGTAGACATGGTATTCCTCATTTTAAAACTGGCCAAGGTTTCGTCCAGACCTCAGTCAGCAAACGCCTGGTTTCGTCACAGTCGGCAGTTGTATCGTCTGTAGCAGAAAGACGGCAGTCAAAGGCACCTGTCTTAAAAAATGTTGATCAGATGCATATCGAAATATTTATCACTCTGACATCCGCTTAAATCTTTTGTTTACGGTTGTGTACGAAACGTTCCTTTTAGTGTGGGGTAACGGTACCTTGCACTGGAAAAATAGGACGCTCAGTCAGAATTTATCGTGTAAGGTAACTCTGACGGGGCGCAGAGTAGTCTACTCCTTCAACAAAGCATGGCGCTTGAATTGGGCAGCATTGTTGATGAAATTTGTGACGATTGGCAAACGTCACCTTCAACCAATTCTATCTTCACGGCTTTCATACGTCGCAATTTATCCATCCAACGAAAACTTCCCTCCAAATGAAAGCAGACTCAACCAAACTGGCTGCTGCTCGCAGAACGACAATTTTTGCTGAGCCACGTTTCAGACTCCCGGATTTGCTTTCGTTCAATACTCTTACTATCGCAGCTGTTTGTCACATATGCAATAGCGAATAGTTCTACCAACAGGTTTTACGGTGATGTTGCTCAAAATCTCACTTATCATCAAAAGTCGAATTTCCACGGAAAGTAAGTAACAGAATTTACGGTAAGAAAGTCGGTGAGAAACAGTTGGTAGGAGGAAAAACATTATGCTAAAGTTTCTAGATTAAGTGTCTAAAATCTGTTCACCTTCCAAACGATTTTGAAGTGGATTTTGAAAGAGCTGAACCTGTGCATTAATGCTACTAACGTATTTTTCGTACAGTTATACTGAAGGTCTGGAACGGTCTCCATTTCCATCTCAGTATATGCATAAAGGGCTTAAACATAAACAAGTAAGCATGAGATAACAGTAAATTTCAGGCTTATTATAAATAGGGCATTGCTTCATAAGCGTTTATATTTCTGCTTCTGCGTTTTGATTTGAAATATTTCGTTTGCCTGTTATCGAAAGAATCAAAACGATGTAAAATTTATTAGGCCGATAGCAGCAGCAAGGGACCATGTAGAGTGGTTTACAGTGATATCTGACTTTAATCCCCACTATTCTTTACCGCTTTTTCGCACCCTTTGAAATTCTGCTTCTAGGTCTAAAGAGATGAAATTCGCTCATTTTGACGAAGAGGAGATCTATCTATTAGGTACAGTGATTTAACGTACTACGTTGGGTTTAATAACAAATCAGCCACCGCTGTTTACTTCGCAAATAACAGGTTTCAAGACAGTAAGTTGGCAAAGTTTCACAGAGAATTTAAGATAACGTCTATTATTTGTATAGCGGTATCTCAGACGACCAGGTTCAGTCTTGCAAACTAGTCGTTGGTGATTAATTCCAGAGTATCATGAAGTAACAAAATTTTCTGTGAAGAACAATGTTCCTTTAGGAGCAAACTTCTGACCGTCGTAGCACACATGATACAATTTTGATGTGTCGTGCTGGTAGTATCGCGTGTCACTTTAAACTACATGGAAAGAATACCAAAGTCATTGTTGGCTTTATTGAATATGCTATTACGTTGCTATAAAATTGAAGCATAAATGGTCACTTTCCATCGTGGTATTTCTAACAGCATTTTGCGTTTGAAAGCAAGCTGCGGTGTAAGCGGAAGTGTAGAAAGGAGTTGCCAAACGATGCCTATGGCGATCAACGAAATTCGCATTGTTTAATAACTGGTTTTCGTTTTTCCCTTGTACTTCGCTGAAGAGACAGATATAAGTTGAATAATCGCAAAATAGTCATTCATTGGAAGTCATTGCCTTGAAATCAGTAATCAGTATGATAGGCAAAAAGCGGAATGATATAACACAATAATCGATACATCAGGTTTATAAGTACAGAAGAGTCACAGCGATATAGAATAAACTTGGCCGGGGTAGTTCTGTTGCAGCTCAGACTCGCCCTGTTCCTCGTCTTCGCTGTCGTCTGAGATCTTTTCTTCGATATAACCTGACTCATCGCTGTACGAATCGTTTTCGCTACAAAGTGAGTGCGAACGAATGTTCAGTGATTTCAACAGCTCTTCAGGCGTCACCTTTTCTTCGCTGCTAGCATAGTCCCCGGTACTATAAGATCTAGTAGGCACGGTGTCCTGTGCCGACTGATCGCTAGAACGCAATTCGGAATCATGAATCATGCTGTTGAACACAAGTTTCGACAGTATCTCCTCATTCTTCAGTTCCTCCTCGGTCGCCTCGTTGATGCACTGCAGTCGAGGCGCCGACTTACTACGATTGACGGGCGGTCTGAAGTGTTGACCGCCAATGCTGAGCATCTGCTTGCGCAGGGGAGTGCTCGGGTGGCCGGTGTGTGCGCTGCTGATGCGTGAGTTCTGGCGATGGATCCGATCACGCTTGTACTCCTTGAGGGCGATCAGCAAGTTCTCCCTTAAAAGTTGCGCGAACACACGCGCCGAGCCCGACTTACTGAACAACACGGCATGACATCGCAGCTCCGGCTTCATCTTTTTCCCCTCGTGCTTGTAGATCCAGCAGAAGACCTTTGGAAAGTTCTTGGGAGCTGCACAGTACGTAATGCGATGCGACCAATATTCGGTGATGCCTGCTTCCCTGGTGGCCGCCTTCAGACCGGACCTGGTCACCGTCAGCTTCATGCGCATATCCAACGACGCTCGACTGTTGTACGCGTGGCAGATCATGCTGAGTGGCTTCTCGAGGCATTCGTCACCCTTGGCCAGTGTCGTCAGCACGTTGCCCATGTAGACGACGTCCTGCGAAAGGTCCGGTTCATTGACGACGAACTTCTTTCGACGGCCGAAGAGTGTCATCTTTTGTGAAAAGTCCTAAATCACAAGCATTCAGCGTTCACTGTTCAGGGTAGTGCGGCTGCGGATGCGGTCACGGACGCAGAGCTTATGCCGTCACC